ATTAGCTGAAACCTGGGCCTCGGATGGGAATCGATCGGTCTGTCTGGCGCGGTGTACAGATCCCTGCGCAGTCACCTGCCGTTTTGCCTCATCGATCAATGATCGGCTGACATCCCCTGCAGTTGTCGCTTCTCCTGTTGCTGTCACTATCTCTGACGGCCGACTCCTGCACGGGCTCCAAAAGCCAGGGCAATAAACACACTGTTTCGGTGCACGATCACTCTTCTTCTTCTTCTTTTTCTTGTTCTTTTTCTTCTTCTTCTTCTTCTTCTTCTTCTTCTTCTTCTTCTTTCGTCTTCGCTTATACACGTGCGCATGGAACTTGCTTTTTCGCCCCCGTTTGCGAGAGCCATGGTAGTCCATCTGCGCGTGCCACACACGACCTGCCACTCATACGCTGACTGACTTTAAGTGCACTAGAAGCGAAGAGACGAGTCCCAGGAGGTAGTCTTGAAGAAGGAGACACAATCGCTGGGACATGTGCACGGGGGGAGTGCAAATGTGAGCACCTGTCCCAATACCAGGGTCGGTGCGTCAGATGGTCGAGCAATCATCACACCAACATCCAGCACACGTGATGAAAGTGCAGCAATTAACGACGCGAATGTCGGCTATCAAACAATTAGCCCACCAAGGGCGATGATCCCCGATGAAGGGGGAGTCGTGAATGTTCGTAGGTATGCGGTAGCATGACGACTGCATCCTATAAATACTGCAGCCCCCTGTGCGTGAATCACCCGTATCTGCTGTTGTCCCTGATGATGGACTCGAGCAGGAATCCGAAACGTCAGGCTAATTTAAGTGCACTGCTCACGCTCAAAGGCCGCGCCCCTGCGAGACTCGATGACCACGGCCCGTTTTAGTTCCCTTTTTCCACGGCACGCAGTCCCTTTTTATTTTATACCTCAATTCCTTGACCCCTTGATGCCGTTAGGCTGCTGGTTGATCCTATTTTCGAGGATATAACTAAAGCCCTTCACTTTGTAATGATGGTCGCCGAGTCACTCAGCTGAACCCGGCGCCATTTACGCCTTATCTCTCACCCAACAACAGCCTGTGGGGGATTGAACCAGTTCGGTTATAGTCCGATTTTAACTCGCCATGAGTCTGAACACAGAAATGAAAGCTAAACTCGTCACCTTAAGTGTCACACAATTTGTTTGCAACATGTTTCATGTTTTTTTTGCTTAGTTTGGGGTCATGGTTCGTGGGGGCCACTCCAGTGAAACACTCGTTCACCTCAGAAAGTACGCTCTCCCTCCCTCCCTCCCTCCCTCCCTCCCTCTCTCTCTCTCTCTCTCTCTCTCTCTCTCTCTCTCTCTCTACATAGTTTTTGTTCAAATGCAAACTATGAGAAGAACACATCGAGGTTCAGTCAGTGGTTTCCGCTTGTTTCACTTTGAACTATCCAGCTGCAAAATTTATTTTATTATTAGTAGCGAGTTTAGTTGAATTTTCGAATATTAAATGCTTGTTAAGCTTAAATACACTGAACTATACTGGAGTAACCTACAGTGTGCGACCGATTAAATGAAATACTGGCCGAAATTCTGAAATGCGTTTTCGACTAGGAAGGATTTATAAGGTGACGTTGTAATATTAAATAACGTGCAGCATAATCCTACAGTATTTTGGACTCGTCAGGATGTCGGATTTTGAATGCATTTCTTTATGACCTCCCGCAGAAACCGTACTCAGCAAAAAAGGACTACTTAAGTAGCCTGTACTTTCTACATTGATTTTCGATGGTCTTATAAAATCAAATGTATTTTATAGAAACCATGCACAGAATCTGCTTTCTTTTTCCTGTTTGGTAGAAAACCACACTGTATTCATATTTTATACCCTAAGGAAGGCTATCTTTCAGCTCTAAGAAAGTTTCTAATTTTGAGGCTTTTAAGACCGTGCGATCTCCACATTTACAGCATCGCACATGCTGTTTGCCAATGTTTCTTATGAAATGTACAACACAGCCCGTATCCATTGCAAAATCATATGAACTCTATATAGTATCTTCTTAAGGACATAGAAGAATATATCATTTTCCTTACGCGGGACGCATGCAGCTTGTAGACTGAAATTGCTAAACGCTAGGCTGATCAGGGTCAAAATTATTTAGGAATTTGGAAACTTTTCAAAACTAAAATATACACTTTTTTCGGGTATAGAAGGTAAAGCTAATGTGATTTTCTACCAAACAAGTAAAAGAAAGCATATTTTGTGCATGTTTTCTATGAAATATCTTTTAATATATAAGACCATCGAAAATAAATGTGAAAAACGCATGCTACTTAAGTAGTCCTTTTAGTCGAGTACGGTCTCTGTGGGAGGTCATAAAGAAATATATTCAAAAGCCGACATCCTGGCGAATCTAAAATACTACAGGATTAGGCTACATGCTAATTACTATCATTACGCCACCTTATTAATCCCTCCTAGTCGAAAACGAATTTCAGAATTACGGCCAACATTTCATGAGATTGGTCACGCACCGTACATCTGCGCGTTGCACTTTGTGCTTGTAACTGATAAAAACCACAGCAAATTTGACGTTAGAACCAAAAACTAATTTCAATACTCATAATTCTGCTGCCCAGTGGGTGGACATGTCATATAACACTTCCATTAGCTTGGCTTGCCGATTTGACTCGAAGCGTCCATGCGTGCTCGGACATTTATGGGCTCTTTAGATTACTGGTGCAGTCACATATTCCAGTCAACTTAATGCTGGCTTGATGCTGGTCGCCTTGATCGGGATCTACCCTTTACTGAGGGTGCTACTGAATAACAGTAGCCAAGTTCGCTGGTGTCATGCGCGTATAATGCCCCAGCGGTCTGGAAGTGGGCCGAAAAGCTGGTCGGATATCTGCCCCGTCGCAAGCATGCCGCCGAACTCCACTACTAAAGAAACAAACCAAATTGCACTCATTTGGTTCCCTCACAGGGGGAAAGTTGTCAGACAGGGTACATCAAGAACGCAGTCACTCAGTCGGGTCAAAACGTTTTCGGTTCGATGTAACCGAACCGATCGTGTTTCTTGCATCACCGGGCAGTCTGCTTCGTGATCGCTAGCGCGACCGTTCACTCATGCCGTCCTCAGTCCGCTTTACGCTCCGCCCTGTCAGTCGATTGCCTGGGCCGCATTTGACTAGGCACCGACGTGGCGAGGGCTTGACGCGGCTCCCTCTGCTGATTGGTCGCAGGCAGACAAAGCGCAGCCGCATGCATGCATTTTGCACCGGAGCTAACAACCCCAAAGGGCTGGAGAGGAGACTTGCCGCAACTGCCGGCAAACCCGCATGTCAACTCACTAGTCTCGGTAAAGCTTGTTTACTAACTCTGTCTTCCCTGACTTTCTACTTGGGAAACCTCGCATTGCCGGCCCATCGCATTTCGACAAGCACAGTTACTGGTCTGTCGCTCTCGTGTGGTCCTGTTGGACTTCTGGCCGAAACAATTCATCTCACACTTACTCAGTTTTCACTACCAACCCGTTTTAATTAAGGTATTACAAGGAAGGGCAGTATGTCTCTCGATCTTGTGGACCGCGTTATCATATTGGCCATCACAGTTGTCAGTATATATCCCCTCCAGTTTGATAATATCGAGGAAAGACTGGACAGTGTCGGTACCAATCCTAGCCCTCCCCAATGACAAAACTGAAGCCATGCGGGAACGCAGAGGTGAACACTTTTCCCATCACCGGGGTCGGTGCGTCAGATGGTCGAGCAATCATCACGCCAACATCCAACGCACGTGATGAAATTGCAGCAATTAAAGCCGCGAATATCGGCCATCAAACAGTAATCACACCAAGTGCAACAATCGCTGATGAAGGGTGGGGGAGCCATGAACATTCATAGGTATGCGGTAGCATGGCTACTGCATCCTATAAATACAACAGTCCCTTGTGCATGAACCATCCGTATCTGCTACTGTCTCTGATGATGAGTTAGAGCAGGAATCCGGAAGGTCAGACGAATAAAGCTCTTGTCCCGGCGATCGTGTCTCCTTCTTCAAGACTACTTCCTGGGACTCGTCTCTTCGCTCCTATTGAATTAAGTAAACTGTATGCGCGAGATCGGACTTGCGAAGCACAAACCTCACGCTTCACTTCCGCATCCGCATCCGCAACGTTCCAGACACGAGATATCTGGATGTGCACGTGGAGGCAACGGCCGATTCAGCCAAATCACCTATGTCGCGCACGCATTAATTCCCACAGGCAGGGGAGCCAGACATTAAGAAAGCCGTGGGTCCTTCATGGAAGAGGGTTGTCCTGAGGGCTGCCATGAGAAGGAGCCATTGAAACCCGGTCCTCATTTTGAATGAGGACAGCGTTTGTTAAATGTAAAAAGCCACTGCTTTCTGACGAGTGGTGACATTTGAAAAATACTCCATATTTTGTAGGAATTGGGATATTTACAGTATCAGCCATTCTAACTCGACCTAGTCCACTCCACTCTCACTGACTGAGAGATTGCATGAGAGCAGCAGTAAGAAAGAACCGCTGTCGCTAAACCCTCAGTCCGAAGGAGAACCGAGTCGTCTCGTCAGTCGGTAACTTTCTAATTTACTGCAGATAGAGGAAACGGGCAAGCCCCAGGAATCAGTTTAGAAAGAGAAAGTACGATCACTGAAACAAAAGTTTACTGGCTTGACGTATCGGATTCCCACTCAAGCTCGTCATCAGAGACAGTAGCAGGAAAGGGTCGTGGGGGCACAACGAGTGCTGTATTTGTAGTATGTAGCTGCCGTGGGACCAGTTGCGACACTGTAATTAACAGCTCTCGCGATCACCGCTGGGGGGTCATAATTAATGCGATGATGGCTTGTCAGTCCGTGTCCAAGCGGATTTCGTCGCGATTTCGTTATCCGTGTTGGATGTTGGCGCGATAATTACTCAGCCATTCGGCCCGCTGTCGCTGGGATTGTTGTGTTGCGACGGCTAAGGGCACGACTGCCAATCCCAGACTATGGATATTAGGATAAGATACGAGTTATGTGCCGCTGGACCATACTGCATTGAGAGGCGAAAGAAGTCCGTGTCCATGCTTTGGGGTCCTTGTACATCCCAGGCCAGACGAAGCGGTCGGAAGCCAAGTAGTCGGTGGTTCGACTGCGAGGGTGAGATAGATTGTGCAGAAGGATGATGGCACAGATGGACGATGGAATGGGGTGGACACGTCACATAGAATGATGCCGTTGCCAGTTGTCAGTGATAGCTCCTGAAGTTGGAGTCCGGAAACATCCTCATGACAGGGTGGACCGACACGACGTTGTTCAGCGGCCATCTCAGCGAGGTCGATCCTGGATGAAAGCTGGAGGTCAGCGATAGAGGGCCTGGACAGTGCGCCAGCCACCTCATTCCGTGACCCGGCAACATTGCGGATGTCTGAAGTGAACTGCGAAATGTAGTTCAGGTGGCGGATCTCCCGTGGGTTTAGTTTGTCAGAGTGGGAATGCATAGCAAAGGTGAGTGACTTATGGTCTGTGAAAACTGTGAACTCTCGACCTTCGAGTAAATGCCGGAAGTGCCTCACGGCAAGAAAAGCGGCGAGAAGTTCACGTCCGAATGTGCTGTAACGGGTTTCGGCCTTGGATAATTTCCTGGAGAAGAAAGCCAAAGGCACAGTAGAATCTGGCAGACTTTGTTGGAGAACCGCGCCAACAGCAACATTGAAGGCATCGACCATCAGAGATATGGGTGCATCAGCATGAAAGTGAGTCAGGAGGGTGGCATCAGTCAGAAGGACTTTTTCCTGTTCAAATGACGTGAGTGCTGCTGGTGTAAGTTCAAAGGTGGGCTTAGAACCTGAGAGGAAACTGGTCAGTGTCAGCACAGTGTGGGAGAAGCCGGCGATAAAAGTTCGGCACACCAGGGAACCGTCGCAACTGACGCTTCGAGGTAGGGAGTAGAAAGTCCCGAATGACGGCAACCTTTGAGGGAAGAGGCCGAATGCCGTTTGAGTCTATCAGGTGACCTAAGAACTCAAGAGAAGTGACTCTTAGGACACATTTGGCAGGATGCAGAGTGACACCAAACTGCTGAAATCGGTTGGAAAGCAGGGTAAGGTGTTGGAGATGTTCCTCGACATCTCAACTGGCGACGAGGACATCATCAATATACGCATAAACAAATGGAAGGTCACGTAAAACACGGTCAATGAGTTCTATGCAACAAGGTGGAGAGGAATATTTCCTGCCATGAATGAACCCGGTCCTTATGGGAATATTTCAGTGTCTGGAATTCTGGAAGTTAGGCTACAATGCCTCCTTCGTATTATGACCTTTTTTACGCCGTTGCTTTTGTTAAGGTCAGGAAAGCTCTCACAGAAATCCCGGCACATTTAATGGGGATGATTTCGTGTTTTAATAGATCGAATGCAGACGGGAACTCCCCCAACAATATGCACACCAGTCTGTTTCACGTGCAAATCCTAGCGGGCAAAAACCATCAGTAAACAGTTAGCTACTATTCGGGGATACCATCCACGTCACTGCGGCGGAAGTTCCCGAAACTTTACGACAAAACACCGATACTGGTCCAATGAAAATGTCGACGAAAGGCAATAACAATTGTTTGAAAGAAAAAAAGTCCACGTTACCTCTCTGCACAAGAAAACAGCCCAGAATAAGACCCACCCTTCCAGTTTTGCCGGTAATCGCAACAGAAAGTGAAGGCGACACAAAATTATCGGCAGGATACCAAGACAGATAAAATCCAGCGCACTTCTTCAAGTCGAGACTAACGCTGACGTCGACATTGCCGCTTCGAATGGCCACTTCCGGCCTGTGAGCAGTCATCAGTTAGCCATGTCCAATCCCCGAGGCCCGAACTCGCTACCTGTTGTCTAGAGGTCCAACGGCCTAACCACTGAGCCATGGACTCATGGTCCTGCCGGTTGCGATCGGGTATATTAACAATAATAAAGGCGTGTGCACCGATCGCGTTACGGAACTCACGCGTTCCGTTATGAGTTGAGGCTCTCTCTCTCTCTCTCTCTCTCTCTCTCTCTCTCTCTCTCTCTATCGAGCCCCGCCAGAAGCCTGAATTTACGTCTTTAGCAGGGGCTCCTTCCCGGTCGATGGGATTTTTTGCATCCCGGCAACTAGAATAACCCCTTTCGTCATCTTCGTGAGTCTGGTCAAAGGAAAGTAGGCGACGTTTCGCATAAAATATGTCTAAATTAATGCAAAACCTCTGATCGACAGGAAACCGATCCAGATACACCGACCGGAACTCCCAATGAATAATGATCGACAATCAACTGGGTGGCAGCTTAAAAGAAATGTTGGAAGAAGGAATATATAGGTTAGGAATACCTTCCGCTCTCGCCTAGCCTGTATTTTAGAACTAACTTTTATTGTTTTTTTTTTCACTAACTCTACCCCGTTCCCATATAGCTGTACTGGCCTGAAGAGATGCTATCGAAGGCAACGTTCGCTCGCCACTTTGTCTTCTGAAAATCTTATCAGGTAAATTTTCGACGCTGATTCTCCAGGTCATCGATGCACTTGAGTAAATATGCGAAAAAAACAAGTAAAATCGATATTCATTTGGTGTCTGCGCTAGTAAGCAGCCGCCGTGTGCGTCATCGCGTATTGATCGGTTCTCGTCTCTTCCACTGTCCCCTGAGATGTATGAGCAAGGCACCTAACTCGATGTGCCCATTGATGCGTGACTCATCGGAGTGCGTGGCTTCAAGAAACTTTCAGCCTTTTTTAAAGGGACGAACTCCGACGACGAGAGTTTTGTCCAATGCGAAGGCGTGCATAATATCGAGGGTGTGCATGGCCATTTGAGGCAGGTGGTCTCGCCTCTTAACTGCAGTTGATGTTTGCGAATGTGTGTATAAGCGGGTTTTCCCGTTTGGCCACAATATACCGTAGCACAGGCACCGCATGGGATCTTATAGGCGACTTCCATCTTATCAAGATAGCCAATCCTATCCTAAGGGTGTTCAAGTTGAGTGCGTAAAGCAATCGCCGGCTTATGCGGCACTTTTATTTGGCGTCTTCTCAACTGTATTTCAACGAGTTCAGTCACATTCCTGATGTGAGGAAGGATTCACCACGTATTTACTTTGAGCGGTTTATCAGAACTATCTAATTTCTTTGCTTTTAACTCATGTTTTCTCATGCATTGACGTACGAAATCTCTAAGATAACCGACAAAGACAAGGGAGACTTGAATGACCATTTTTCGCTTATTAGCCGTCGTCAGCCAGTCATACCCAACCCATTCCAGTTTCCCCCCTTGTCTTTGTCGGTAATAACATCCTGCCTATATCATGCGCCGCTGTGCGGCTGCTGGCTGGGCTCGTGAGAGAGCCCGTAAGGCACAACGGAACGAGTGAGTTCCGTAAGAACGTTCGGTGAGCGCCCCTCTACCATTCTAAGGTAACCGTTCTGGAAAAAATAATTCAAAAAGTAACTTAGCCCAACTTGGTAGCTTTTCTGCTCGATATAGCAGACTGCTGACAGTACTCCGCTTGTAAGAGATTGGGCTGTTGCTCTAATAGTGTAGAATTACTTCCGCATATGTTTCTTTGCTATAAGCGGACGTGTGTAATGTTACGTCAGTCTTTCGCTGCAAGAGAACATCCAGAAATGGGGGTGCATTATCAACTTCTTTTTCGAGCATGAATTTAATTCCCGGAATGGTTGAGTTGTGTCGTGACTCATGACTGTCTGACACGCTGATAGCCAAATTAATTGGATCATCGGCAAATATTGCCTGTTTCCTCAGCTGGCCAGCTTATTCGTCATCACATACTGTGAAATTCCATCATGTCTTGGAACGTTAGTCAACATGTCTACTTCATTCTCACTCAAGATGGGGGAGTTTGGCGAGTGCTAGAGCACTGCGACATTAGCACTATTTCTCGCCACTTCAATCTTACTAGACAACACTTCGAGGAGGCGACACTCTTCATCTGCTAACCGTTCTTTTCTCTCCACTCTGGGGCAGGGAAATATTCAGACGAGAGCGACAACAAACGACGTCAGGAGCATTTGCAAACTCACCTGTCTAGCCTCGCCAACCCCGCGCACCCCTCGCAGAGTGGATTGTTGTTGCTGGCGCCCGTCAGCGCAGACCGGTTGTCGTGGCAACGGCATATGCACTGTTGGAAGAAAACAGGAACTCAGCGAGCCCCTGCCACCTCTCATCGAGGCCCGTATTTGAGACACGCAAACAAACTCTCACAATTGCAGAGATGTGCTTCAGGTGCGGCCTATATGTGGAGGCGAAGTGCTGGCATAAAAGCGAACTCTGCGCGTCAGTGGATGCGAGTAGTAGGATCAGTTCGATGGTGAAACAGAAGTGCACTGGAACTAGGGAGGGTTTAAAGGCCAGACCACACGATTCTGCCTTCGTTTCTATACACGGTTAAAACGAGGACTTCTAGAGATAGCACAGAAGGCTAAAAATAAAATCAGTGATAAAAATGGAAGGAAGGCATTCTTAATGCACCGACAATGTCTCATTAAGTCAGTGGAGGGGGAGGGTAGAGGAGATAGAATATAATGAAGTAGTGGTGGTAAACATCGAGCAGACGGACACGGGATGAGCGAGAGAACTTCGTCTGTGTTTCAGCATGAGAGTAAGAGGCCTGCAAGAGAACTGAGCTTAATGCCAGCAGAGATTACTATCAGAAAAGGGAAGCGACGCTGAGAACGAAGCAGTAAAGAAGATGCTTAACAGAAGTGCATCGGTGACGCCCGGGAGGGTGGGGTTTCAGGAGGAGGGGACGTAGGAGGAGGGGGCGTAGGAGGAGGAGGAGAAGGTGTTAGGCAAGGGCAAGGTAAAGTAATTACGCATTGTGGTACGAAGAGATTTTTCTGGGGATACATACTCTGACCTGCTTAACGACATCTTTCCCAACATTCAGTCCGCACGAGAAGAAGAGAATGCCAAACAGTCGCTCTGCCTTGACGTCCTCGTCACACGCATACCCACTGGAGAACTTAACATGACGCTGTATAGTAAGGCGGCTAACAAAACCTAGTTTCCAAATTACTACAGCAACCACCCGATGGTGCATAAATGCGGCTGTCCTAGAACAGTCTTCCAAAGAGTAAAAACGCATTGCTGTGAACCGAACGGACGCGTACCATAAGCACGGCATCTTCGGGACCATCTGTAAGGGAATACATACCAAAACAGCCTCACTAGCCGCTGCCTCCGTACATGCTCACGGGGAACAAACGGAGGAAAGCCACCAACACTCTGGCACACTCTATCGCATATAAAGAATGTGCCAGAAGCAACGGAACGTATCGCTGCAGAGTCCGGAATGGGTATCGCCCATAATCTGACAGCAACCGCGCGTATCAGAATCGTGCAAATGAAGGACCGACTAGACGCAGGAGAACAATCGGGTATCGTTTATCAGATCACATACTATGACTATCCTCGTAATTACAGAGGGCAGACCGAACGACGACTTAGCTCGCGAATAATGGAGCACAAACAGGCAGTCCGGAGAGGCGATCAACTATCTCAGGTCACTACTCACACCCTGGAGGAAGGCCACGAATCCAAGTTGGCGAGCACGCGGGTAATGGCGCAATCCGGCAATAAGACGGGGAGAGAACTGCCGCGGGGGCCTGGATGTCTGACACCAACTCCATCAACAGACACGTGCTACCGCGCCGTTTGTTGTCCTGGCCACGAGGCGCGACCCATTTT